TATGGTAATATAAATGGTTAGTTAATAAAATTATCAATCCAATAACTAATATGAACATATCTCATAATATTTATTGTTTTTATAAATTAATACTATTTCTGGTATGAACAGGTTTTTAAAAAGGACATCATCAAACTTACAAGAAATCTTCAAATACAATTTATCAATTGAAATACTTATATGTGGCTGAAGATAACTTACAAATTATTGTAAGTTATAAAATATTAAAAACGCTCTCTTGAACAATTTATCGTTTTTGATGTACGCGGCACTCTTGTATACAATCAGTACAATATTACCAACATCATAGCCCATAAGAAATATTTAGTTTAGTGTGCACAATAGGTTTAGGTGTCTCCGTGTCTGTGAGAGCCGAGAGTATATCAAATGCAATCAGATTGCACAGAATAGCTGTTAATAATATTACTAAGATATTTATAGAACGTTTTGTTGACATTATAATTTGCCAAACCGCCTAAATCATTGTACCAAAATCTGTTTAAAAAAAAAGAATTGCTCCCCCAAAAAATTGCTAGCCCAGTCGATTTTCCCTCCCCCCATGCCACCCTTAAATACGCCACTGAATAAGTAAATAAGAATGTCGTGTAGCAGCTGTCCTAAAACTGTGTTCCCCGGAGTAGTGTAGATTATTGGCATCTAGATTCTAGAGGCCCTGTGGAGTGTGGACATATCTGAATTAAATTAATTAAAATAATATTCGGTTTATCATGTTTATTGTATTTATAATACCCACATGGCCACATAATTTGTTTCGTAGTCGTAAACAATATTAGATGCAAGTTGATTGATGATTATATTGCTTTTATAGTTTTATAGTTGTATCGTTTATGTCGTTTATGATTATATTATATATAGAAACAAATGAATCAGCAAAATATGTTTCATGTATAATTTTTCATGAGTCATGTTTATTTTATTAGCATTCAGATTTTTGGGGCTCCATAGAATTTTCTAAGCAATATAAGGGCTAAACGAACAAACAAGTCTAAGGACTGCTATACTGCACATCATACAGAAGGAAAGCATAGAAAACCTTAAGGGAGGGTGTGGGGGAACAAAGCCCTTCACTTCCTTGTACGTGATTTAATGCCTTAAAGCCTAATCCATAACATATTATGTAATAGTTTATTTTCAAAATAATATAATCGTAAGACGTAAGAGTAATATAGGCACGTTATAGTAACACGCGGCGGTACCTAGCACGCTAGTCAACAACTGTGACATTACCTTAACACCTCGTCGACAACTTGTTTATGTTTCCACGCCTTTAAAATTCCCTTGGATATCAAGGGGACTTATTAACCTAGGGTACACTTCCATTTTTACACGTAATTATTGTTTATTTAGTATTTTATAGGGTTGCGCAAGAGCCCGACGCCGAAATGTATAGTCGACCAACACTAGGTTACACGTGGGCTACATGAGATTCAAATACTACGAGCACGAGGCACTCGACGTGTTAATAAAATATTTTTATAGCACAAACACTGTATAAATTATATACATTGTAGAATTATTTAAATGCGAATGTTTTGAAACAAGATAATTTAATTTAACTATTATCATATTACATAAGGTACATACAGGGTGTCCCCCGAGAATTTACCCATTGCTAAATCTCCTGACTCCTGAGAAAATAAATATGTCATAAATCTGTTTTTTCTTTTATTAGACTCATAGAGACAAGGACTACATATATTTTATTTTATTTGTTGGTAAAAAAGTTAAGAAATTAATTTTTTAATTTTTGAAATAATTAAAGATATCCATTGTTTAGAGTTTATTTATATGAAAATGTTGACCTGTCAACATTTAATTACCGTTGATTTCATGATTTTCAATCATTTTTTTAGTTTATAGATAAATTTTCAAAAAGCCCGGTTTTTGTCCGAGCGGCCCGTTGAGTCCCCCAGTACGCCTAATGGATATATCCTCAAGTGATACCTTGTATATAAATGAAACCCACATAATTTAAAACAACAATTCATGATGTTTTTTTTTTTTAAATCATTAATTATGTATAAAATATAATATAATAATACATTTAATGATAAAGCCTATAACAGTCAGAAAAAAATTTCTATTTATTTGTTAATTGAACTAAATCGATTTATTATTAAAGTCGATGAAATTAAAAAACATTTCAGAAGACATTTTCCGAGATGTGTAATATGAAGTGTAAGATAGTAGAAAGTATACACAGGGATGATCATAGACTTTATTTTTAGGAAGTTTGGAGTGAATTTGTTGACTTCCCAGAACAAAATTTGACGCCTAATATTTTATAGTGGTCCCTGCTTAATCTAATCATTTTGAAACTGGAAAAAACGGATAACATTAAAGAACAATAATAATATATTATTAGGTACCTTATATCTTAAATCGTGCATTAAACAAAAGTTAAATCACATACCATTGACTTTATAATTTATAATCTTACATTAATACGCAATAATACTGCACACATATACGTAATATGATCTGTACCTATTTAGTTTTCGATAACAATACAACTGAAAACAATTCTAAGTGATTATAATAAGGAGTGAACACTGACCACTGTTTTTGAAAACTATTAAAGCCCACATTCCTGCCTATTTTTTCTGGATGATAGCACTATACATAATAATATAAACTATATTTGCTAGAGCAAGACCCCGTTCGCCAAAAAATTTTAAAACTACTTTCCCTTTTCGCCCAAGAATATTATAGCACTTTTTGATCCCATTTTTATAATACACAAATGGATAACCTTATACACACTATGTTAAATTAACTTTTGCCAAAAACATGATACACCTATATTATACTATTAATTATTATAATTTATTTTTATCATTGTATATTATTGTTATTCACTTATAACTCGATCAAAAAAATAATTATCGAATATCTATCGGAAATTAACATTTAAAATTTAAAATATTCTTGAATAGCATAAAATATAAAAATATAAAATATACCTAACTAATACAATCAAAATGAATGAATAAAATATTAATTAATAATTATTAATTTCGTGCGCGACAGTATTCAGAGAAAAAAAATATTTGACTTGTAATTTTACAAACTATAGTTGGTTTAGTCAGTACGGTAAATGTGATGCATTATATGTGCACTGTAACCTTTATGGTAACTCTAAAAAGTAGTGATCACATTTATTTATAGTAACATTTTTATTTGATAGTTCGTAAAAAAATATGGTTGTACTTCAAATATTTATATACCATCTCAATTAATGATCAAATAAGAAAATGTAATAAAAAATTTAAATAATACTTTATACATATATTGTAACAATACAAATTTAAAATTATAAACTATTTTGGTTATTGTTATTTGTTACATCAAATTTCATTAATTCAATAAGCAAACCGCAATCACGGACCACTTTGATAAAAAAATTTGTATTATAATATATATTTTTGGTTTTATCATATTGACGTAATAAAATACAATCCATAGCGATTGTCAATGTAGTTGGAGAAGACGCGTGGATTAAAGATTCTAAAATTGTAGTTAACAAAGCATACATGAACAAAAAACACACTGCTTTACGTGCAGTTTTTTTTTCTCGTAATGAATCAAAATATTTCACTCCAGTTCAGTTGTAGGTATCAGATTTGTTCCGCGGTGCACACGCAATAACACGGATTCAGCCGAAGCCCGAAAGATTCGATGTTTAAAGTAACTAAGTTTGACCCAAACTAGTAAGTAATTAAAATAGACGTACATGTCGGCTTAATAGAAAGTATGGATATGGACTGGACAGTGGACATGTTTTAACATACCTTAAGAGAACACTACTAACTACTGTCTCTGTCTTACAAATGTACAATAGAAAAAAAAAATAGTTTTGAACCACTCTGCAGGCTGTAGTGATAGATATTGTTTTTTTTTTAAATGAAGCACATTTATGTTGTTAATATTTTTAGTAAAATATATTGAAAAGTTAATACAAGATTCATTCGAGTTTTCTTACAGCAGTTTACAAATTGAAATATCAAAAATACTTTGACAATTATTGACATTTATAGAATAAAAAAAAAAAATTGAAAATGTCTATAAATAACTCAAAACTAGTCAAAATATTCTGAAAATGTCATCATCATGCATAGAAAATGACACGATAAACATTAATGATAATATTTTTAATAACAAAATAAGAAAATCGGCATATGAGAATTTGTTATTTTACGGGTTTTGAACTTCAAAGCTCATAAAAAATTATAGTTGATTTACGATCAAATTTTTTAATTTCCACTAACAACTTATGAGCAAAATCATACTACATTTTCAAGTAACTATTTTTTTTTATCGACAATAATTTAAAAAAACTAAAAAAACTCAAAATTTACTTATACCTAAATAAATAAGCCAAAAAGAATTGCAATATTTCGAAAGATATTTGATGGATAGAAATTGCATATGTATACGGTTATTTTTAGCTGAACTTATTTATATCTATTCCTTTTTAAGAGTTACACTAAAAAACAAAATCAATTTTTTCAAAAACTGGATTTTCTTAAAAAAATCTCAGCTTTTTCTTAATTTTTGTTTGTTTTTCCTGATGCTTGGGAATATTTTAATTTTAACCCCACAAAGTACCAACTATAGATTCACAACCAGAAAAAATACTGAAGAAAATCAAAGCATTTTTTCTATCGGAAAAGGTTGACAAACAAAAAACACATCATGGTAAAATAAATACATCATTTCTCAGAATTTAGAGAAACTGCTAAATTTTTGTTAACATTTTATAAATAAATTAAATAAATTGTAAAAATTGTAATACACAAATCAAAATAATTTTAATTTATAAGCAATGAATAATAATTTAAAATTAAATTACATAAATTGTTAATATATATTATCACAACTTGCATCTTAGATCAATGGTTACAAATAAATATAATATTTAGTTGATTAAAATTAATTTAACAAAAGCATGATTATCAGTTAAAATATAACAATATAATTATGTATATTTATAAAAATATAATATTATAAAGAATTGACATTTTATAAAATAAAATAAAAAAGAATGTTTTATACATACTTTGTTTGATTAAACTAATATTGACTCATTTATGTAAGTGTAATACATTATGTCTTCTTATTCATAATATTCTTTATCTTGTGAATTATTTAGTCATTTGGTATTAATTGAATGTGTACTTGAATCAGATAACTATACAGTTAAACTATAATTAATAAATATTGCTTTAGTATAGAAAAATATTTTTTATACAAATTTGAAAAATGTGGGTGCATTGCCAATACTGTTCAAATGTATGAATAAGTACAAATTAAACAATAAATTCAATTAAATATCACATGAAATATAAGTTTATTATAAATTAAAATATTAATTCAAAAATTCTAAGAAATAAACATGGGCTGGTTACTTTTTAGGCAAAAATATAATGTAATACATCAGAATAAAATAATAATTTTATAAGTATCTAATAATTATCGTGAAATTCTAACAACACTGGAACAAGAACAAATATAAAACTAAATTGAAATTAAAGATTGAAAGAAAAAGTATTGTATTTTAATAATCATATACCTAATAGTTATGAAGTATTATAAAGTTCTAACAAAATAGTAACATCAAACAATAGAAGTTTCCATTTTAATATTTTAAGACTGAATAATCTATAGTAAGAAGATGGCAGTACGATTATATTTTATTCAATATCTAAAAATCAATTAAATATTTTACAAACTTACATTATGGCCTGAAATTTTTTAAAAATGAATTGCAAGCAGCATCAATTTCTTTTAACTGACTATCCGTCAATTGAAGTAATTTACTAAATACATTAATATCTCGTTTAAAAAACTCTAATCTGGAAGAAAAATAATGACATAATATTAATCACAGCATTTCTCATAACTGCATAAATTAATAAACACAAAACCCAAAATACACACAAAAATGACCTGATGTTTCTCAAACTCATAAAATCTTATTACTGAACACTTACGTTTTATATACAAGATGTAACAGAAAGATATGACAAATATCATATACATCATATTATATCAGACATGTCATAACTTTCTGTTACACCATGTATTTACACATATAAATTAATGAACATAAATTTTTCTAATAAAATTATAATAAATTAACAATATGTTTCATAAATCTTAAATTGTCCCATTTAAATTTATTAAAATATAAAGATGTAAGACATCATTACCAATATTGGCAATATTTTATGTCAGTAAAAGAGCTAATAGATATTTAAAATTTTCATTTTGTTCCTTAAAATATTAATTGTACCATGTGATAATCGTTTATCGGTGCTATTAAATTCTGTGTTTGTGGTTTTGTTTTATGTAATTCATTGATCGTTGGTGTTACCATGTGTGATGCTAGGACAGCAATAAAAATACTAAACTATTACTTACTCATTCATAGGATATACATTCTGATATGGAGTATCATCCAATACAATTGAGGTATTATTATATAATGGTTTCTTGAAAAATAATACTTTTTCCAATGGATTTATCAATGGATATCCACAATTAAGCCAAGTAGCTGTAACGCCAAATTCAAAACCAAATTGTTTTTGCAATTCATTCTTAAGATTTTGTTTTAAATTTTCAACGTCGATCGATTTGTTATAAATTTCTTTGTTAATCTTTAACAATCATTTAAAAGTAATATTGTTAATTATAACTATTTCCTCAGAGTCTTGTTTTATGATTTTTTATGATTTTTGTTTGTTTAATTTATATTATAATATATGTCTCAAATCTTTACGTTTTCTGGTATGTATTATTGTGTCATAATACATAACCATTAAGCAAACATCAATGGATGAACCATCTTACATGAGATTTTTTTAATATTATTAGTAGAGCTACAAGTACGACAACAATTTCAAACATACATTGGACATTATTTCTACTATTGCAACTAACAACGAACTGTATGGTTCTTTGATTGTTCATTATTATGAGATTTAACTGTATTTAATTTTTACCTTCCAGGAATTAAATTTAAAAACAAATTTAACATTATACTCACAAATATTAAATTATAGGAACCAATAAATTTATATAAATGTCTTGTATGTAATCTATTTAATAAACTTTTAGCCTCTTCCAAATTTGGGTCATGGCTATATTGAATATCACATAAAATGTGGTCAGTTAAACGAGACATTGCTTCGATATTTGTATGAGCTTCATTCAAACCAAACCTAAAAAAGATATTATATTTAGTTAAAAAAATTGTTTAAATTAATAATAATAATGAATATACTCATGAATTAAATGCATAATATAAATAAGTAGGGTTAGGATGTTTATGACTTTTACATTACAGAACAAATAATAAACCCATTAAGATGCAAAGTGGAAAGTACAAATATGGACTGGACATGTTTTAACATACCTTAAGACAACACTCTAAGTGTTGTCTCTGTCTTACAAATGTGTAAGTATGCTGTAAATATGCTGTGGTGATATTTATGGTTTTTTTTTAAGAGTCCAAATTTAAATACAATATAGGTGAGATTAATATCTGTTAAATCTTGTTATTATTTTATATTTTTATTTGATGTTACTTATACAAAAAAAATTCTTATTGTTTCAAAATCTATTATTTTTATGCTTTTTAAACTTGAATAACTGTTTTTGTAGTTATGATAACAAAAAAATAAAAATGAAATTTCCAAGACAAAGTTTAATTTTACTTTTTTTGTGGTTAAAATTTTGTTTCTTAGTTGAGACCAGGGCTCGGGACTTAAAGCACTTACTTATATTTATAGATTGACTTAAAATGTAGCAGAGTGCTATGGAAGGGTATGCCATGTTACAAGACAGTAAATTATGAAATTTTAAAATGCTTTTATATGCTTTTTTCAAAAAAAAAAATGCTTATTTCCAGTTCTTCTGATTATTTTTGCGTTTTAGACCAGCTTTTCTACTTTTTATGGTTTTCTCCTACTAAGTTGTTTTTGATAGAATTAAAATTTAAAATACATCTTATTTTATCTATGTTGTCGCGTATTTAATTAAATAATTGTTTTTTAACTATTTGTAAATATTGTTTACATTTTATTTTTCAGAAAATCCATAAAATCCTTAGTTTTTTTTTTTAATAAAAATGTTTGCTAAAATTTAAGTTATATATATGCTTATTTTAGTACTTATAATGAGGTTTTAAGAGGTTATTTTAATGATTTTAAGTGCTTTAAGTCCCAAGCCCTGGTTACAACTTATGATTGTACCTTTCTCAGTTCTTTTCTGTGCAAAATATTTTTTGCCATGTTTTACATTTGTAAGATGGAGAAACACATATGCAGGTGAAGTGACAATTGAGCATTGATTTTAAATATTTAATTTAGTTAATGTATAATGAATGAATGAATGATATAAATTTACTTATTTAGTCGTATTATACTCCGTCCCACTAGAGAATGTTTTTTCGTTTGTCAATGCACATCTCCCACCAATTTTACCCCCTAATGGCTCGACCCAGGCCGGTAAAAAGTGAGGTAAATTTGGCCTCTGCTATGTTGACGGCGGCAGTTGGGTGCGCGACTCGTGTACCTTCTCTCTTGGACCGGAGTATAGTTATAAATGTAAAGTACTATAATGTATTTTATAAGCACATATGTATGAAATATCCTAACTAATTAATCCATTTTAACAACAATTTAACCTCTACAAATACACAAATAGTAATTGATACTGAAAAGCTATAGAGTACAATCTTTTAAAATCTTCTTACTTTGCATAGAACAGTTAAATAGTATAATTTTGATAAGTATAATGTAACATAATATAATGATAATAGAAAAGTTAAATTATTATGGATCTAAACTTACTTAGTACCAGATGAAATTTGTACAGTAAAATACTTCTCTGCTTTTAATAGCATGTCAACCATCCTAAAATAGAAAAAAAAAATGTAATTAATTAATTAAAGTAATACAGAATTCAAGTTGGTTAATAAAACACATTCAATAAATCATAAATATATGAATAATAGTATCAAATGGTGTTATATACTTAAAATTAATTAATAGTTATAATATGATATCATGTATGCATGTTATCAAAATTAATCCAAATAAATATTTAATTTGCATACATCAACTCTGTATTTTGAACCGCTGTGTGTTGGTAAGCTCTCAGATGTAAATCTGACCTCACTCTAAACATGTCATATATGTTTCTAGCCTCTTTATTTCTGAATGCTATTACTTGTTTTGGTTGGTTTGAATTAGGATCTAATACAACTCTAGAAAACTGCATCAATCTTTTGTAATCAAATGATATGCTTAAATTTAAACAATTTCCGTCACGTAAAAAGTAATCCCATTTATCAACATCAATGCCATTATCTTTATTTGATACAACCTAATAATAAATGTATTAGATTAATTTGTATAAACTATAATTTGTACAAATAAGTTAAAAACTGATTTACCTGGTATAAGAAATGGTTTTCTACTAGTAACTTTCCTCCTCCTCTAATAAATTCACAAATCAATTCAACGTGATACTCCACATTCAGTCCATATTTTTTTAGCTCTTTTTCTAAATCATACTTTTGTATGATATACTTAAGCATTTCAGTTGAACTTTCTTCATGCTTAAAAAAAAAAAATCAATAAACAAATGATTACATTTTATTTAAAGTACATAATTTTATTAAGCGGCCACAACTTTATACACTACTAAATAATTCTGCAAGGCATTGCCCGGGGAATACCCCTACTTAAACTCTATTAAATTTAAGATATACATATTAAAAAAAAAGTAATTTGGGTGGTTTTGTCCACATAAAATAGCGGTCCAAAATTATATCTAACTACAACAACTATTTTGTTTTCTTTAGCCAATGACAATTTTTTTTTTGGTTTTAGAAATGTTTAAAAAAAATGTCTAACATTGTTTATGGCTGTGTTATATGCTGTGAACATTATATTAAGAATGTAGTATGAAGAGTTTAAAAAAAGGTAGAACACAACTAATACACTAAACTATATAAATATATTATAGACAATATCACAAATATTAAATAACATTATTGATACTTCACCTATTTATCTACAAAAAATAAAACATTTTAAATCAAACAATGGTATACATCAAAGATGGGTAACTGGAAGCCAGCTTGCCTTTCTTTGCTTTCCATGCTCTGATCCACTTAATTTTAAAGTTCTAAAAATTGTCCCCCTAGTAACTTTGAGTTGCTCATCTCTGGTATACACTGTTGTGTTAATATTAATTATTTGTTTTAAATGGATTTGTAAATATTTTGTTGATTATTTTTTAACTATAATATACTCTGTTTCAAAAGACAACAATCACTTTTTGAGCATCGCGAATAATTTGATTGGAGTGCCAAGAACCACGTGACCACGCTGACACTGGGAAGTTGGTGGTAGATGTGCAGCACAGACATATATCGGTTGGCTTACTGATTATTCTCTTCTGAGACAGAGTATTGGCATTATTTATTCCTAGCAATCTCGATATATCTTACTCATTATTAAAAAAAAAAAAAACTATTTATGAGAAGGTACTAAATATAACTTGTATAAACTTACACAATTTTAATTAATTAATACAGTTAATGTAAAGCATAAAAAACAATAAAAACTTTGCTTTTCGGAGTGGTAGGCAATTGTATATAAAAATGTATTATTATTTTTAATGAAATCTTTGTTATATGATGAAATAAATATTATAAAATATTATTATTACGATTTATACTATTGGAAACTGGTGTACCTTCCAATCAACTCCAGAAGCCTTAAGATATCTTTCCCAACTGTGTGATAAAGGGCCATGTCCAAGATCATGACAAAGGCCTGCTAATTCAACACACAGTTTTTCTTCTTTAGTAACATTAATATCTTCACCTGAATTTCGACATAAAGCTTCAATCATTTGTCCAGCTAAGTAACAAACACTGAAAGAAATTTAAAAATACAAAATTTAAATTAAACAAATGAAAAAATATTTATAGTATAAATATTTATTAAAATAAAACACATTATCTGAGTCATTTTCCAAATTTAACAAAAGAACATAAACAAAATTAAATTGTATACTACTCAGGTTTTTTAGCATACCTTCTAAATTTTTCTATCATAGACAGTAACAGTAATTGTCACAATTTAAAAACTATATTTAGACAATAACATACAGTAAAACATTCAATTTTTTTAGATAATTGTCTACTATACATTGAATACTCTATTCAAAATAAACCAATTAATGCATAAAGAAAGTGGTGCCAGTTGTTGGTAGTTTAAATGGATATGTCTTGTGGCCAGGTATACTCTTATAGTGAATTGAGTATAAACCTTTTAATTGAATGCTCACAACACATATGAAATTAAAAATAAATAAAAGTGTAATATTTAAAATAATAAATACTCAACAAATCAGTGTAAGACCAAAACTAGTTACCCAATAGAATGTTCAAACCGATTAATGCTAGCACAGGGGTAGACTAGATAAGTGGTACCAAGCTGTTTGATGTTTCGCAATCTTTGAAATTCAGGTGTGTCGATGAGTTTCACGCAGAGCGGATGGAGCATAATGTGACCGTGTATATTGTCATTGAAAACTTTGCCGTAATCCGAGCTGTACACAATCGTCGACATGACAATAGCAGTGTTCTTTGAACAATGAGTATTTAAATTTTTCCCTGGAACTCAGTTTACGTTTGATCGAAAATAAAAAATAATTTTGACGTTCAGTACTAAACGCCGAAACACTGACTTTCGATGTTGGATCTTCGATCGTACTACGAAATACGAAAAAAACGAGTTTAAATCATCGAACGGAAAAGGTGGAAATACCTATTACCTGCAACAAATGATATTTGATAAGATTATTTCAAATTTGGAGGACAATTCCACGTTGTGATAAACGCAATCAGAATATTACAAATATGTCCAAATCACGGTCAGATAATATTCCAATACACGTCTTCTAAAGACCGAGGTCCAAGCAATAGGGGGAGAAAAATGACTTTCATGGACTAGAAAGTAGATACGACTTTCTGATTTTGTTAAACGCGCTAACGTTTATACAAAAAAAATAAAAATTGATGTCTTGAAACAGTTATAACGAGGCGTCGAGTTGTTGAGTATTCTCTATAAAACGAGGGCACCAGTTAGTTATTTGTTGTTTTTCTACAAATAAAGTTAAACCAACTATAGTACTAAACTCAATGAATGTTTATCGTCTAAGTCGTCTGAGTCGCTATTCGGCATTTGGCAGCATGCCATAATATTATACAACATAATTATGTCTTATACAGTTATACTTACTTTCATATAATATGTATTGATTTAACAATGTGTCGCCGTCTTGTGGGCAGAAATAAATAATAATTATGCCAATATAAACATTGGTTAATCAAAAATGTTTATAGCATAAATTTCTATTAACTTTTGAGTTATATTTTTAAAATGTTCTTGAGCTATTTATAGGCAGGAGATATTTTCGTTATTTTTTTTATAGGTGCTTGTCGATGAAAAATTCTTTGCTCGGTCAAAAAGCATGACAATTTAGTAGGTACAAGATCCCTCCTAAGTTTTTAGAGAGTTTTAAAAATATTGAAGATATTATATGGAAACAATTTTTTTTATAATCATTTGAAACAGTGGTGATCAAACGATTCTGTCATGAGGTAAGGAATGTAAATGATTTTTTAACATGCAATGTTTGATCATTAAAAATTTAATTCTCTCCTCCAGACCACGTTTGATCATCAGTGATATTAAGTTTAATTACTAACAAAATCATGAACATTTTCAAATTTCTATGTGACTATGTAGATACCTAATTTTGAAATTAAAAATGTATAGTTTTAGCTTTAGATTCTCAGCTGACCGATAATATAGTACATATATAATAGTATATATATATATATGTAGTGCTCGGAAGGAACTTGTTCCATTGATTTTGTTCAATTATTTTCATGAACTTAGCTGGAACGTAGTTCGTTTTTCGTGTGAAGTAACATAATTTCTAATTTTATTTGTTTATAAATTTTTAAATGTGAGGAATTTATACAATTTATATGGCAAAAGTTTTTATTATCTTAGTCAATATCATAATGAGTCATATTATTATACAACAATCAGCAATAATATTGACAATGTTTAGTCAGTCATGGCGGTATCGGTCTTAATTTATATGAAATAAACAAATTAAACATTTTAAAAACAAAAGAACTAAGACACTAAGTACCTAATTAAATTATCACTATTGCTACAAATTATTTTCATACGAACTTAAAATTATTGAGGAACCAAGAATGTTCTTTATATAGAAAAGAGGGAAGGAATTAGTTCCTTTCTTTAAGCCAAAAACGATTTAGTTCCTATTTTACAGACGTAACTAATTCCATTCTTCAGAGAACTTTCCGAGCACAGCAGTCCTAAAGTTATTGTAAGTGGAAGTAAAAAAAAAGTTGATCGTAAATTCACATTTTTTTTTTTTTGAGCGTCTGAAAACCACACTACCACAAAGATTTGAAAATTGAATAAAAGATTCATCATAAGTTTGTCTACCTTTATCAAAAACGTCAAATAAAATCTTTATGAAAGTTTGAACGGTTTGAAGTTCAAAATTGTACAATATAATATACCTCACGGCTCACTCGATTTCTCATGGAACGATCTTGACTTTCTTATTTTGTTGTAATTAAAAAACGAATAACCAAAATATTTTAACCCGTTTTAAACCTGTATAGAGCTGTTTTACATTTTCAATTTTAGATTCTAAGTGGAACGATGATGAATGTATTGATTTCACAATGTGTTTTTTTAAATATATTTTTGTGTCTGTCTGCAGCTGTCATCACGTTTTGGGACAGAAGAAGTGCTTCGATTTTCTTCAACCGCATCTTTTCTAATAGGAAAGTGAATCTAGTTGTTATTGTGTTGGGTCAAAAGTATAAAATTCCCAAGGTTAGGTTACAAGTCAATTGTATAGCCCGTGGTGGCCGATATAACCCCCGTCCCCAAAAAATTACAATTATTGAAATATTATTTTTTTTTTAATTCATTTTTTTTGGTCAATAACAACCACCAGTAAATGCTCCCCTTCCTAAATTCAGTTTTGAGTACGCCATTGCTACAGTTGATAACTGTATGTATGCAACAGCTTCAGCTTACTTAATTATTCTTGTAGACCTTTGATCATAATATACTGGTATATGATCTGAGTAATAAACAATCAATTTATCAGAAATTCTATCTTAATTTACTAAAAGAATATTAATTTTTTTAAACATAAGAGATATATTTTTTATAATTACAGATTTTGATAGGTACTCATATTTTGATGAGCCATCATCTTAAGTACCCAACTAAAGTAATCAGTTCAAACAACATAATTTTTACCGAAGAATATCCAAATTTATGCATGGATAGTTTATATATGAAATATTATGTATGATTATTATCTAATATTCTATACTTTTATAGTATTTTATTTCTTATAATTTTACTATAATAATAAATTAGTGTCCAGTCATACTGAATATAGATATGTAACTAATATCATCGTATAATATGTACAATATTTAGTGAAAGAATGGTGGAATCAAGACTTAAGTGTACTTGGTTATTGCAATAGCATCCTCACTATATCATTTTATGACATTAAGGAAATAATGAGACAACCTATACTTAAGCCATGAACTGTACGCTTATGCTACCATTTTATTTTGTTTGATTACAATACAGACCTATGCGAATAACCTTGTATATTTCAAACATGGGTGTAATATATTATATACTAGAATACAACTTATACTTATAATACTATCATCTTCCCTCACCAACTGATATAAGATATTTATTTGTTGCATGACAATATTCAGAATAATATGTAGTTAGGTATAACTTACATCTTTATTTAAACCAAAAATTATCTTTATTACAAAAAAATCTATTTTTTATTAGGTACATTTAATATTTTAATCTATGGGTATGTATAACAAATGAAAAATTAATTGCCATGAAATCACATGAGTAAATATTTTATCTTGGGCACATGGCGTGTCTTCCTCCATCAACCAAGATTGAATCGCCAGTCGTAAAACTAGCGTCATCACTAGCTAAAAATGCAATAGCTTTGGCAACTTCTTCGACAGTGCCTGGTCTTCCTAACGCATGCGTGAACTTGGTTTTATCTAAAAATGTTGAATAGTCCTCTTCACTCATTCCTTGTCTTGTTAAAAGTTTTGTAACTACAACTCCTGGGTTCACACTATTCACACGAACTCCTTTAGGTGCCAGTTCCAATGCAACACATCTTGTAAATTGATCCACTGCTGCTTTTGACATGCAGTATGCTAGTACATTAGGAAAAGATCTGGTTCCATTTACACTGGATACATTAACTATGTTACCTTTAGTCTTCACTAAATATGGAACAGCCAACATGGTCAGATGATAGATGGATCGCACATTAGCATTCATTACCCGATCATACTGATCAAGGGATGTAGACTCAATAGTTCCGTTTTCTAAAATACCTGCATTATTTATTAAAACATCCAGTTGGTTATAATGAGAAATAGTGGAATCCAAAATTTTTTTAGTATCATCTTCGTTTGTCAGATCACCAGTAATCACAAATGGTTTTAGTGAACAACTTTTTTCACATTGATCGGCTACATTTTGCAGGTTTACAAGATTGCGTCCAGTAAGTGCTAGTTTAGCTCCCAATTTGGAAAAGTGTAAAGCAGTTGCTGCACCAATTCCTGAACTAGCACCAGTAATCAATACTATTTTACTATGAAAACTCATTTTACTACTACAGTTACTACAGAAACTATAAATTTAAGAATGTTTAAGTTAATTTCCTGTTAGTTTTAAACATAAATTATTTTAACTCAAGTTTAGTAGGTACCTGGTGGTTGGTACATGGATTATGGATACTTAAATGTTCAAAACGTACGTCATGTTTAATTTTATCAGTTTAAATAAATATTAAATAACTTTTATCTGTAAACCATAATCAAACTACGTGTTGAAGGTAAATATTGCATAAGTATAAAAAGGTACAAAAAATACAAAATGTATACTAATAAGATAATTGAAATATCAATTATTATAATTAATTCATCACTGGTTTACAGCTGCTGTTATTCTATTCTGATTAGTGATTTCTGGTATTGCCTGTTGATCTGTTATCATGAATTTATCAAATATTTAAACCACGGACCTTAGAAAAACTTATTCTAGTTATTCTGTGCACGGACCTTCGAGTTTCGACGCTTGACCATTGACCATGTAATTGTGATTGTAGTCTTCTAGGTCTTCATAAAAGTGTATTTACTATTTTACTATTTATAATTTTCTCTTAATGCTCACTATACCACACATTGTGCGAAATAAAATAATGGTGGAAAACAGTTACCAGTTATTCATCCACATCTGTTCTTAATGCAATAAAGCCTGCCTAAAATTGGTTTTTATTTTTACTATGTGCAGTTTATATTACTCTAATAGTACAGATGTGAGATTTTAACAGATTAAATTATATGTTGGGGGTTAAATATAGTGTATTTAAATATTTCTTCACATTTTAACCAAAAATGCAATTATTAAGATAATTAATATAAATACAGGTTTATTTATGTCACATTTACTCTTAGATTGAATATACAAATGATAATTAAATCAATATCAAGTATGACATCATATAGACTAAATAAACTAATTATAAAGTCATGATTAAATCCAATAAAGCACCTACAACAAACTACCAGACGTAAACCAAAAAAAAAAAAATAACTAATAAAGTGCGAAATATTTTTTCACTATTATATTTTAATGCAGTCATGAGGTCAATAATATTGTAAATTATAATTATAATGTACATGATATAATATGAAAATATCTCATATTATATAAAAATATTTTACATTTGATTGAGTAGCATGGTTAGGATATAAGTTCTGTAAATGTATCAATGTCCATTAGATTCAATATGCCAGTTGTAATAAACAATAGGTGCAATATAATACATGCAATGGAAGTACATCAACTCATGCCTTTAAAAGTTATTTCTGTTAATTAGTTATATATTATAATAGAATAATACTAATTTATTATAATACAGTGAGTCCTGCTTGATATGATCATTGATTAAAAGAATCAATCATTTATTGAAATCAAAAACGATACACCATAACCAAATCTTATATTATGGTCTATGGATGTTAAATTGACCTGTTGTAAACATTTTTATCTATTTTATGGCTTTTCAAACTAACAATGTTAGGATACCAAAAGCTTGTATAGGTATTGGGTATACAATTATTGTATTTTTAAACTAATCAGTATTTCATCAATATGATAATATACATCTCGTTGTTCAGTATAATTGTTTAAGTTCTTGTTCAAACATTTTTCTTACATTAAATGAACAAACAGAAAAATGTATAATTGAAAGAAAAAGTTTTACTATTTTGATAAGTTGGAAAATTGTTTGTGAAGACAATCCTCATTAGTTTTGGAAACTTTTCAACTTAAATTTAACTAAATTTTAAAAATCATGAGTAAATTGATGAAAATTAAGAAAACAATTTGCCTTTTTCCTAAAAACAGATATGGAAACTTATATATGCTCATATAGTTTCTTTCCCTTATTTTAAATGTATGTTTTTATGTTACTTAAATTTTATTTAAAGTTTACGTAAGAATATAGAAAAAAAATGTTTTTTTGTAATTAACTGGTTTGTATGATCAAAATGACCTGTACTAATGTGATTACATTAAGCGAAACTCACTGTATATAAATGATTACTAATAAAAATCAATGGGTTTAAAAAGAACATTATTTTTAAAACAATATTTTCAGTGTGTATTCTATGAATTAAAACATTTAGTACAACTGTAATTGAAACAAATAAGAGGTGTATACTAGATACCTATCAAAATTGTAAAAACACAAATAAATAAAAAAAAAAAATCATCGACAAATAAATAATAGTAAAAATTAAAAATGAATAAATCACAACAAATTATTATTGCACTTCAGTAAACCACATTTAAATCTTATTAGAAAAAGAATTTCTCTAATACAATAATAATAGTGTAAATGAAAGAATTATTGAATAATCATATATCTAACAGAAGAATGTAAAAATTGAAAATATAACGAAAAACACCGGACAGGCAAGAATAGTTTCAAATTTTAAATTATAACAAACTAAATCAATTATTCTTAACATGATTTTAATATAAAAAATATGATAATATAAGTAACAGTATGCCCGAGTAAACATAGAAAAATGAATGTTACCAGATGGATACTTATACTATTAAAGATATTCTTAGAAATATACAACCTTTCAATATGAATTATAGTATAACTTAAATACTGGAAGGTAAAGAAATAATGAGAAAAACTAATTTTAAAATAAATAATTATACTTATTTCTTTTTTTTAATTCTTTTCTTGTAACCTTTTCCAAACCAGCCAGCAGTAACTTTGGCCTTTTCTATAACTTCATCATTCTTATCAGCCATGTCTTCAGTTTTTAGTTCATTTTCGTCTTCTTCATCTGTATCATCATCATCACAACACAGACAAATGGCTACGTCTTCTTTGAACTTTGACTCATATCGATGATAAAACAGGCATTTAGTTGAACCATAAACTGGATGACAAAATGTACAATACCGATTTATTGAAACATCTGTCTTCTTAATATCATCTTTATCTTCGCTAACATCTCTTTTCTTTTTTTTTAAATTGTTTGTCAGCTTTTTTTCTATTTGTAATTTTTCAACTGCAGCTAATCCTATACATGCTTGATATACAAAGTTCTTGTAAAACTGATCAACAGGTGTTGGAGATAATCCTAATGTTTCCATATTATTGATAAAAAATGGATTTAAATATGGTACTATTGGTTCAACCAATGATAGCATATTGCGACCTTCCAATGAATTTTGATCCACACCTTCAATAAAAGGTCTCCAAAAATTACTTAAACTTGGAACCAAATCCATATTTGAACACGACGGAGAATTAATTGACTCACTTTGATCAACCGTGGATGTATTATTTTCTAATTTTACTAAACTGAGATCAACTGGTTGTATTAGGTCTTTTGATCCTGAACACATTTTGGTAATATTGTTACCGTTATTAATATCTAATTCTATTTTTTCACATTTTGTTATTGTATTTGAATCGGTTTTTTGAACATCATCAGTCGGAACCGCTAAAACAGGATGTACTGTTGTATGTTCTTCAGCTGCTACTAACATTGTGGCATGGTGAAATATAGGATCAAGACAACGTTGATACTTAGGAATATCCAAATTTAATATTGACATTACTTTTTTCATAATTTCATCACATTTACCTGGAAAATTATATTTTTATTTTACCAATTATTCTATTTTTAATATCACAGAAAAGCAATATGTTGTACCATTTATTTTTAATGTAGCTTGGTCATCCTTGGGAGTCCATTGAAGATTTACAATGTATAACTTTGGTCTTTTCTTAGCTGGTCTATCCATTGACCAAAGCCATGGATACTTTTTCAGAACCTAATAATATAATAAAATATGTTTATAATTATAATTGTTTAATATTTAGTATTTTTATAACATAAAATGATTTATTTCTAGGTAACTGGTCACAAAAAAAAAAAATTGGAATTATAATATTATATTTTGTATATATTATGTATAAACAGCAACCAATACTATACACGAAATAAATACATTAAAAATCTCAATAACTTAAAATGTTCATAATTCCATTCCTTTTTTCCTTTAGATAACCATCAAAATCTATAAAATTCATTCAACCATTATGAATATTACCTTTAGGCTGGATCCTAAACACAAAATTACATCAGTTTTTTCAGCATGTTTACAAGCTGTTGACCAATTAATTGGCCACTGAAGTTTACCACGTTCTCCAAAGTGAACAATTGTATCTTTCAATGGTTTGTGACAAGCATAACATAACCTCAGTGTTTTGTGATTAAATCTTGCTGTATGTTCTGTCACATCAAACATTCGTAAATAGTGTCTGTTTGGCTTACAATTGTTACATACCTATAAATTAACATTTTATTTTAGTTGATATGTTTACAAATACAAAGAAAATATAGGCAATACAAAATCACAAATACCTCAATAAACATATCACCATGAACTTCTGACAATGCTGGTCTTGGTAGACCACTTCTTAAATGCAAACCATCACAATTTTGAGAAACGACATGTCCGAGTAATCCTTCGCGGTATAATCGATATATTGCCATATGTGTTAACGTGGGCTCCGCTTGGCTTAAGTCGTGACATCTAAATTAGTTAATATCTTAGTATGAATGAACATATTATAGCCCATGGGCCATAATTCATATATATGTAGCATTTTAGTAATAATTAATATTATTTATTTATTTTAAACTCTAAATTTAAAGTGCTCTCTAATAAATCACAAAAAACAACAATTAAATAAAATATACCATCAAATTTGTAATTCTACAGAAATGTTAAGAAAAGAAATATCACTGAAATTAACAGTTAATAACTAATGTAAGAGTTAAGACACTCCTAATCAGGGCTCAAACTTATTACTTAAAAGAACTATAATTTAAACTAATAAATGTTGAAAAATGCACTATAGTTTGGCTTTTTTTTAGGTTTAAACACGGGAATTGTGGGTGGGGGATGAACTGCATGGTTGTTACTTCTCCATAAAGGCAGTGTCTGGATAGTGTAAGTACCGGCCCACTAAATATTAATACTTTAACTACCAAAACACCTATTAAAATGGATTAGAATAATCAAGTTTAATAATTAGTACTTAATTTACTGTAAATAGTTAAACTCGGTAACTCACTGGTTCTATCCGGGCCTGCCTGAAGGTGCAAAAAATATTTAATTTAACATTAATTATTATCTTATACTTAGGAATTAGGTGAATATAAATTTGAAATTAATATTCATATAATGCAATTAACAAAGTCAATTAATGGTCAAGGTTATTAACATTACCTGAAAAATTAAATACGGGCAAATTTGTTACCTGATCACTATTAGATTCTAAGAGGAGCAACGAATGTATAGATTTTACAATAATCACCTTTTGGGACAGGAAAATTTTTTCAATTTGCTTCTATAGCATATTAACTGGTAGAAAAATGAATCTAGTTGGTACGCTGGGGATCATAATTTAAAAATTAGGAGAAGTCTTACAAAACAAAAAACCCAATATTTTAAAGCAAATAAAATTTGAGTTATTGAATTAATTTGTTTAATCATGAGATTTTGAATTTCGTATTTAATTGTAATTCAAAAACGAGTAACAGTACTTAGTTACTTGAAATTTTCAGAAAATATGTTTATCACTACTTTATATGCATGATAATATTTTGAATGTTTTTGAGCTACTTTTAAGCATTTTAAATGTACAACTTTTTTTCTATGAATAGCTCAAAAAAATCAAAATATTTTATCTTGTATGGAAGATGGTCATATAAACAATTGACGAAAATTTCAAGTATCTACGGCTAATCATTTTTAAGTTACTACAAAAAAACCTAATTTGAACTAATAAAAGCATATATTCATGCATATTTAAGCATTTTTAGTGCACACTTGTTTGGTTTTTAGTTAATGTAAATTAACGATCTAGTTCACTAATTTAAATTTAAGATATTATTTTGTAATTCAATGAAAAAAAGTGTCTTAAGGTTTACAACAGTATTAAAATGTTCTTATAATAGAGATAGGTAATGGAAAAGGAATAAAAAAAAATTAATTCTTTTCATATAAATTTCAAATCTGGTTTACAAATGAAAAAGACAGACATTTTTAAAAATAATTTTTGTAGTAGTACATTCATTACACACCCAATATCTTTTCCTTGATCTAATAATGTCCATATTCCATTTGAGCCTCTGTAATCGGGTATTTTAGCTGCCGTGCTTATTCCAGCACCAGTATAGACTACTAAATTGGATGCAGACGAAATAGCCTTTGCAAGTTCTTCACATTTTGTATCTAATACTTCAATTGGATCTTCAAACTCTTGACATCGCTCTTTTAATTTCTTTTGCCTATCTAACCTAAAAAAGAAAATCAAAAAGTTCATGGATATGTGTTAAATAATAAACAGTTATTATTTTATGGTTTTTTCTTTAAAGAATTAATAATAAATTACACGTAAAGTAATTTGTACAGGTTAATATGTTGGATAAATAATAATTAGTTACTAAACAATCTATAATCTATATTATTGAATTCAGCTTTTTTAAGAATATAAAAAAAGTAAAAAATTAATCGAAGCACATTATTCTTCACAATTATCATACCAATTTAAATTAGAAAAAAAGCAGAAGAATGGTCTTGTGAAAATTTTAATGAAATTAATAAAAAATTGTATTTGTTACAAAAGTCAAAACTAATAATTAAAATAGGTAGTAAAAATGAAATACCTCTGAGATATCTTTTGTACTGTATCCTTACATGTATTAAGAATTTCTTTGTCATCAATTGTCCTCTCAGATAATGGCTTTTGGATTATTTCTAATATCTGTAAATATTCAATATAAGTAAATAATAAATGTCATAAAGTGATATGCATACATAATAATTAAATCTACCAAATTTTCATTATTCTAAGTTCTTTTGATAATAACAGTAATCAATTAACCAACTTTTAAATCATGAGTGCTGAATATATAACTATGATGTAGTTAGTGTTTATATTATTAGGTTATAAGTTCATAAGACTTATATCAACTTCTAAAAAATGTTAAATTAACTCAATTAAAAGTTTTCGACGTGCGTAGACACTAACACCTATAGTTTTGATTGGCCGACTACAATAGTGGTAGGTCGGCATAGTAATTTTTTTAATGACGTTAAATAGATAATGTGAAGATTCTTGGTGATACAATAGTAATATAGACAATATATATTTGGATTTTGTTTTTTGAAAAGTTGTTGGAAATTTCAAAGTTGTAAATGTAATTTATTTCCCTTCCCTAAGTAAAAAATCCAAATTAAAATTAGTTCAAAGACTGTCAGGGCTAGGTTCCATACTACTCGCTAACATTGTGTAATCACTCTTACTTTTTTATTTGACGCATTTCTTTCTGTTTTCATGCAAAACGTTACGTTCGGAGCCGCCTTCCGTTTTCTGAACTTTAATTTGCATAGTCTCTGATTATCCATTACATTCGAGAATCGCGTTGTTCGCACGATCAAATTTAATATTAATCACAATGATTTAACAGACGGCGTTGTCGATCGCTATGGTGATCACACGGCTGCGGTGGCGGTGCGACGGGACACCTTCGGGAACGCATCGATACCAGGACTGCCGATTCGCGATCATTCGATCATACGTTTATGGCATAATATTAATTGTTTCACACCGAAATATAAAACGATTTAAACGAAACGACACAAATGATCGATTGAAAACGAAACCAGACGATTTCGCAGACAAGAAGTCAGCAAGAAGTGCGAGCAGACGCGATTAACAGACCTTCGGATTTCGGCCAAGTCCCGTCACTCGACATAATATTATTATTATTTAGATGTTATAATTTCACTCAATTTCGTAAGGGTTTCTGCTCAAAACATGACGACGGTGATATTATTTTATTTAGAGTAAAAATATAACCATTAACTACAATTATTGTAAAATAGTGTATCTAGATGTTGTCGGTGTTTGTCCGAACAGCATTGAGCATTGAGCAATGAGCATAAGTAAAATATAAGGAATCGTACGTATCATAATATATTCGTAATTCGTATCGTATCGCGTAGCAGATGTTTATTATTATTATGATTATTGTTTTTTATTATTATTTTGTTATGACTTATGACTGAGACTATGGACCGGCTTACAAGTAGAGAGTTGTTACGAGTCGGACTGACGGCGCGCGTATGGGGGCCATGGAGAAAGCTGAGTTGGCCGACGGTACGTTGGTTGTACTGTTTTAGTACGTGACGATTGGCTCTGATAAGTGATAAAACAAAATAGAAAAGATAAAAGGATGAAACTTCATAACACTCCTCACTGAGAAGTCCTCAGTGGCAGTGGCTCAGTGCTCAGTCCTCACTGGACGAGTGGACGCAGATATAAATAATAATAACGAAATATCAAATATTGGAATATTAGCAATTAGCATTCATTTGTTCTAGCTATTTGTGCTATTAGGTACCCATTCGAATAGGTAGTACGATGTCTTGTAGCTGGGTGAGGTTAGGGTAGGTTATCTTGCCATTAATGTAAACTTTACTTTAAAGCCACTTACCTATAATTGGCTATTACCTAGTAATACCATTGTAAATACAATATTATATTTTTCATTAAATAATTGTCATCAAATATTTTTATTTTAAATAGTGACAACTATGGAACACACGAATAATTATTAATTTTGTAGGACCACTAAAGTCGTATCACAGCTGATTATAATAATATATTATCACAGACTAGAACTAGGTATTTTGAATTTTCTATGTAAATATTGTAAACGACTGTTGAGCGTTTACTTTAAATTCGTTTTTTATTGTTCAATACCCAACAGGTTTGAATACCTACTCGTTTATTTGAGTCTCCATCGTTTAATTCTTGGCATATCGTGGAATTACCAACTATAAACGTAATTTAACTATTTATTCGAGTATTTTAAGTTAACCACAGAATTGTATCAATATGACCGACCCTCATAGTTCAAATACTAACGTTTATCAAGGTAAAATTTATTATTTTTTATTACATTTCGCGCGTTTATATACCTACCTACTTGCTAATCGTATTTTCGTCACTAATCTTTTAAAACTTAATTCCTACACAAGTGACAATATGCTAATGTTATTATGTTATTTTGTTCTATTACATACAGAATCCGCTTATCCGCCTCTGTATGAAACGTAAACATAGGTACCTACATTTTTTTATCAAACAATATTTTTATAGTGTCATAGAAATATTAAGTGTCCACTTAATAAAAATCACCTACATTACAAATCAAAAAGTTTGTTGAAAAAAATAAAAACAAAATAAAAAAAACTTCCCTATACATGGTGTCTCACAAGGTGTAACAGAAACACCCGAAAAATGAAAAATTGATACTAGTTAAATGATTATGAAAATCATATGAATTATATATATAAATAATTTAAAATTTACTTGTTTGAAAATTCACAAACAAAATATTTAGAAAAAAATTATTGTTTCAAATTAATTTACTCCAAAAATAAATTGCAAAAATTAAACTACTTGACTCAAATAAATGCTATTACTATTTACATTTTTCTGAAAAAAGTAACATCTTTATTTTCAGTTCAAAAAATAAAAAATGTTAAACTGAAGGTACTTGCGCAAATGTCTATAAATTATGTATTAAATTTTTTTTTTAATACTGATTTAAATTTAGAACAAGGTTTATTAATTTAGTCAGGTCATTTTGTTACACCCATGTAAAAAAAAAAAATAAGGAAAAGTGTCTTAAGACCCACTATAAGTATAATGAGTATACTTCATATTATATAAACTGTATAAATATAAATGTTCACAGCATACGTGTTCTACAAATTATGGATAGCCCTTTGGATTAGTATTCATCATTTTTTATAACATAAAAAAAAGTAATAGATGGTCACAAACTGTAGCTTACAAAAAAATTTCCTTTTTCACTATCCCTATTAATTACCCATCTGAATATGCTTCATCGGTGTACAAGTCTACAGAATGAAATAATTAGAGATTGAAATTGTAGGTCTTTACGTATATATTTTTTAGGACTATCGGCCGATTGACTAATCAAATTTTATTTGGTTTTTTAGGTGGTGGTCATTTTGAATTTTCTTCTGAAAAAAATTGGGGTGTAGAGCAAGAAGATTGTAGGATATTTGATTCTATTGATATGACACATCTAGCTGCAAGTATAGCTAGTGTGCCATTTAATATCCAACATAACATACCTGTCGAACTATTTACTGTACGGTTGACTAGACGTTTGTAAATCTTTTGATATTTTATGATAATCCTAATAAATTTAAATTTAGGTGGAACAATTAGAAGAATTTGAAGTAGAATCATCTCTTGCATTGAGCCGACATATATGTATGTAAATAATACAATAAATACAAAATATTAAATTTTAGATTATATTTTCAAATTGGTATTTTATACAGTGATTCATCAAATATCCCCACAGCTCCTCCCCCATTTTTTCTCCTTTAATATGAAATGTATTCAATAATTGAGAATTCCTCTTTTTTACTGTAAATTATTTAGTGAATAATTTTTTTGAAAATTTGATGTACCAATTCAAAATTTAAACGAGTAATTTCTTAGTTATTAAAATGTTTGTACTAAGGACGATAGTCCTTAAAAATGTTTTTACAGAATTATAAAATAGACTTTAGATTGGATCTAGTATTTATTTAACTTAAAATTTTTTTTTAAATTGTACATGTTAATAGCTTTATCACTACAATTTTCAAAACCTATTATCATGGTCCTGTTATCCTTAGTACTAAAGTAAAATAATTCAAAAACTATTTGTTCAAAGTTTGACTATGGTACGTCAAAACTTTCAGAAAAATGATCCACTAAATAATTTACAGTAGAAAAAGTGGGTTTCCATTTAAAATATAGAAGTTTGAATCTCTACAAGATACTTCTCAATTAGTACAAAAAATTTCAAGAATATGAAAGTATTATGATCTTCAAATAGATTTAAAAAAATTCCAAAAATCAGATTTTAAACTGAATTATTGAAGAAGAAGGGGGTTGAACATGTTTCATGAATTATCTCGTATGTGTACCTATTATAGATTAATGTATGTATTTTTATTTTTAGCACAAAGCAGATCAAAATCATTAAATATTAAATCTGTCTTGCCAACTTCAATTGTTAGTAATCAAGCATCCACTGACAAAAATAGCTTAATTTTGAAAAATTATTCTAATTCAGGTAATGTGTATTCATGGCTACCAAACAAATTAATCTATACCACATTTATATCTATAATATGGATAGTTTTATGTATTGATTGCCTTGCAATTATTATGTTAATATTAATAATAAAAGAAGTATAGACTATAAACATTATATATATACTTAGAAATGTAATAATACCAAAATGATAAGATTTTAGTTATTTTAGATTCTGAATGGAACAATCAAGTTTTTGTCTTGCAGTTATATCATTATATGTGATTTTTTCAATGTAATAGTTGTATATCCCGAGCAGAACCTAGTAAACAATTCATTCCTTACACTGAAGATACTGTATAAGTTTAATATTTAAGAATTCAATTCAAATTTGCATGAATTTCTGACTTAAAATAATTTGCAAATTTTGGTAATTTTTACATAATTTTTCAAAATTTGAAATTCAGACATAAAAAAATATTTTGGATTTACTCTCAAATTTTTTTTTCATGAACAATAGCTTACAAAAAACTTTATACTACATTTTCAAGTTTTTTAGCAAACATTTTTTATCAATATTAATTTGAAAAGAAATTGAAAATTTCATATGCCTATAAATAGTCAGCATAGTCAAAATATTTTGAAAATTGTATTGTGTACAGAAAATGGTAGTACAAACATTTAGTGAAAATTGAATGTATCTATCATTTGTTTTAGAATCACATCAAAACACAAAATCGATTTTGCCTATAGATTACTGTTTCTTCTTTTTTTGTTTTTCCTGGCGCTTTTGAAAACTATTGAGAATTTTAAATTTTGACTTACCGAATGTACCAATTAAGATTCACATTCACACCTATGTACTGAAGTTGAAAATCGATGCATTATTTTGACTAGTCATCGTCTACTGTACACTGACACACACACACACAAAAAACACATCATTGTAAAATCAATGTATTCATCGCTTCTCTGAGAACCTATTACAAACTAAATCTTATACTGTTGTACTGTTGGAAATTCTATTTTTGGCATAAATGTACATACTTTGTTCAAAATTGTTCATACATTAATTTAAACAAATGTTATCATTTTAATTGTTACAGAAGTTAATAATGTTCCTTTTGATTGTGAGTCTCAACCTAATGTAGAATTAGAAGAAATATTGGGAAATATGAAACCTCTAATGAACATACTACAAGATGAAATAAATACAGTTTCTAGTATAGGTACAATAACCATTTTAATTTTGTTGTGATGAAAAATATTTGAAATTTCTGTAATGTTCATTTTTATTGTAGATACAAGTGAAGCTGACTCTATAATAATTGAAAATCAAAAGATATCCGTTGAAGATGATTGTAAAACTGAAATGGTGATTCATGATTCAGGGCATTGGCTTGATTCCATGTTAGATAGTGATGAATAAAAATTAAATTGTATTTTTCAATTATTAATACATTTTAAATACTTATTTATCTAAGTTATTTTGTATTCTGTACACACTGCTACCCACAATGTTGTGCAATCATTATTCTTCAATTGAAATAAATTCAAAAATCATTACCAAGAGATTTTGGAAATATGGATCCAATGTGTGGTTACTGTTATTATATTATGTACTATGTGTTCTGAAAATTAGTGAGGAATATGATAGATTTCTTTTTTAAGTGACTGGTTACTTCGGCAGTGATAAGATCAAAGCTTGGGGATTTTTCTAGGGAGTATTTTTAATATTCAAGTAGACTTCATAAGAGAGAAATATGGTGTTTGGTAAATGTTTGCTTTATCTTAATTAGAGATAGACTAAGTACTATCATTGGTTAGACCAGGTAGTGGATGGATTATGAATATATAGGAGTTTCTTAGTGGCCTCTCAAGTGATCCATCATTATGTGTAATTTATGATTTATAGTTTGCAAAGGATTCAAATCTGTGGTCAGTAAAATGGCGTTTAAGTTTGTGTGTAAGTACATTATAAGACATTTTTCGGATAGATATCTGGAAATCTGGAATGTTGCCAGACTATTTGTGCACAGCATTTCAGTTATAACAAGGATCTTAATATGAATGGGAAGGTTAATTGAACTTTCCTCAGAAGGAGTTGTATTGCCGATTCCCAGGAGGTCAATTGTATGTTATTATTGTTATTTGAGAGTAGGTTTATTCATCGATATCAGAAGTTATTTTTAGACAAATTTGTAATTCCGTTATCATTTTAATTGTAAAAATGGACGTGTATATTATGTAAATAACAATTATTATTCTAATAGTCAAATTAATGATTTTTTTATAAGCACTAAAAATAAGCATAAATATTAAATTAGTATAAATTATTTAGTTTACTTAAATTATTTAAAACATTTACAAAAAATTATATAAGTAGAACTCTTTAATGTTCAGTCTAACGCAATTAATAACAATATTAATATCACATACATTATCTACTTGTAACCTAACTTCAACTAACGTGGGAAATAATTGATATTTCTAATTTTAGAATGGAGAGTTCATACCAAGTTTAGTTCCAAAATCTAATCTTGCTCTCTTTTGGTAACGCACATTTGACCTAAAATAATAATATGTAATTAATTTTAATAAAAATATTGTGAAGGTATCTATAATAAACAAACCTTATCTCTTGCCAATGAACAACCTCGTTAACAATGAAAACCAGGAACAAAGATACAAACCCAATAATAAAAGTCAATACAGATAGTTTGGAAATACTAATATTATTTTCAATACTATGAAAGTATTCATAATGAATTGTGTATGCCCATTGAACTAGAATACTGATTTCATATATTTATTTAACATCTTAAATATTTAAATAAAGTTAGTATAAATCGAAACTTACATGAACAACGAAGTGAACAAATAAGGTTTATTTAAATGTATAGTTCGTTTCCAAAGTAAATAATCCCGATGAACAAAACTTAGTGATATGGCCACTGTAATACAATAAATAATAAATATCAATGTTCTTCTTAAATTCAAAGTATTAATTAGTAATTACCATAATGCATCACAAGGAAAAGCAACATTAATCTTTGTACACTGATAATAGTGGGCTCAAATTTTGACCAACCTCCCCATTCAGTTTCTTTAGGATCTGGGTATACATACCAACATTGTTGAGTTTCAATAGTTGAATTATTATTAGTAGTAGATAAAATCAAATCACAAGCTTGACTCAGTGACCATATAAACAGCAACACCATATTAATTACAACGGGTAAAAATTTCAGGCCATAAAACCACATTACATAATAAGACAACTATAACATTTTAATCATACATGTAATATAGTTTAATATTAAAAGTTTAAATAATAAAACAATTTAACTTACTTCAGATGTAATTGAACATTGATTTTTTCCAGTTGGTTTTTGCATAACTTCAGGATCTGTTGGACCTCCTACCAAAGATACTGACAATAGAGGCACAACAATACATGTGAGCCACAATATTTGACCTACAAATAAATTACAATTTATTATTTACGATTTAATAGACGGCAAGTAAAGAGCATTCTGATTGAAATTTTAAAACATTAAAATGTAAACCATAATTAAAGAATTGAAGTAAAAAATTGCAATGAAAATAATTTTAAAAGTGTGACTGCCATACAGATGCGGCTGGCAACATAAAAATAGTTATGCTTCATAGACCAATGGCTGGACTGACAATAAAATATAATTCTGAAAGGGATAATGCCGATAGTGGTCATATCTATAATAGTAATGCTCTCAACCGTGGGGTAGTGATTCAATTTATGACGCAAAATATATTTCATTATTGAAATAAAACCATTTTTATGTAGCTATATGCCTTGTGTTTTAGACAGTTAACATATGTGTATACAAAATAAGTTTTTATAAAAAAATAAAAGCTAATCTACGAGGAATTAACAATAAAATAAAAATAATTTTAATGCAATAACATTTCCAATATATACAACTTTAAAATAAAGCGTTTGTGGTAGGTAGGTTAGAGAAAATGTAAAATTGAAATTAAATAAATTACAAACCGACTGATAAAATAGGAGGTAATACAAGAGCAATTGCAAGTAGTTGAAGAAAACTAAGGGAAACCATGCAACTAGTCCAAAATTGAATACAGTTCCATATCCCTTGCATTAAATATCTTCCCTGTGAAATAAAATAAAATTAAAACATAGGACTAGTGATTATTTGAATAAAATATTTTAACTTTTTTTTTCAATTACTTCCATAATAAGATGGTACACTGGTAATGGATCTTGACGATTAAGTGAAAGGCAACAAGGAAGAGAATTCAATAATTCAGAGAGACCCACTGGAGATATTGGAGCATCTATTGGACTTGGTTGTTGCATGATGCTAATTCGCTGACACACTTGTGGATAGATTGGTTCAATAGCAAGACTATAGTTAATATAACAGTAAATATAATTATAGAAACCATTTATGGTATAAATGAGATATTCCATATTTATTTCATAGGATGGTTCAAAATCAAATTTCAAAGAAATATATGTATTAATACTATTTACTAATAAGTTTTTAGAGGGTATTAAGGGAGCTAAGCATAGCGGCGGCTAAGTTTCAGTGTAATTTTTATTAAAAAATGGAAAAATTTTTTTTAAAAAATATAAAAATTTTTTTTAAAAAATATAAAAACTTCTGCTCAGAATAAACAGATAAAAAAAATGCAATGCAGTTATGTTAGTGTTAAGATTTAAAATATCCATACTATATCATTTCCTACGCTGAAGTGAATAATGAAAAATGATTGTCCAATTTAGGAACTGCTCTGCTTATTTTTACTATACTATACATAATATAATATGTAGAACACAACATTATGCATTAATTCTACAATAAATAACAAATTAAATGTTAACATTTATATTTGCTACTTTGTTGTAATTTTAATAATTTCTTCTAGTAGGTTTAATCAAATTAAAATTATTTTATGTTAGTAAATAAATTTTATGTGTATTAAGTTATAATTTTATTGATGATTATACAAGTATAGATAACTAAGTCATAATATATTTAAAATAAGCTCAAGTTATATATCAATGTTTTTTTAGCCTTCGATTGGGCTTAATTCTATTGTAAGTATATTCTAGGCAGTTTAAAATTAAAGAAGATGGTAGATATTCTTTTATACTTGTAAATTACAATATTGCTTTGTAATTTAGTGATTGACTTTTTTTTTCCAGAAAATTCTGAACCTGAACATGACAGTCGAGTTTGTGAGATAAAAATAAAATGAATGAAAAAGGATTTAAATGCATTAGCTGACAAACAGCTAATTAGTTTTCCCCGTAAAATTTTTTTTACAATGAAAGTATTAACGTTACAACAACATGAATTTTAATTTTGTGTCTGTTATCACTGTTTACAGTAAAAAAATCTTTGATATTCTTCTTTGAGGGTGGTTTCTGATAGACAATTGGATCTGGTTGGTACACTTAGGAGTCAAAAGTAAAAAATAATCAGTACTATTTAAAACAACCAGAAAAAAAAGTTACACCATAAACCAAAACTGATTTAGTTGAAATCCATTTGTATTTTTATTTTTTCCAGTGCTTTTGAAAACTACTAGGAATTTTAAATTTTGACCACCAATGCACCGACAAAATTCACTTACTCACTGGAAAATGTATTGAAGTTAAATATCGAAGCATTATTTCAGCTACTTATCAAGTATTCAGACACAAAAAAAAAAACACTCCATTGTAAAAACAATACATTTATAGCTCCACTCAGAATCTAAAATGTTTGAATGTTATATTCGGTACCCACCCATTTAATATTTGTTAATTATAAATAATAAGTTATTTCATGTGTATGTTAAAAATTTAAATTAATTAAAATTCAATTTATATCGATAATTTAATTTTAGACCACTTTTAATATATTTTATAATATTTGAACGCCACAAATATAATTATGTGATCATATAGTTTTGTCCATTGGCTCATTTCACTAGAGTATTAAAGTCTATCTTTAAATGATAATTAAGAAATAAAACAATGACCATAAGCTAAATAATATATATAATAATAAATACAATTTAAATTAAGTTATAGGTTTTTAAAGTAAATAACATTTTAAATAAGTACACAAATAAGTATAAGAGTATATGTTATAGAAGAATCTGACAGGCAAAACTTTAAAAACTGATAAATTAAAAATTAAAAATTGTTAAAATAGATGCAAAATATTGGATTAGATAGAATAGTAATAGTAATAAAAATATGAGTGAAATAAGACAAGAATAATGATTAAATAATGTGCATTTAATAATTATTATAAAAAATAGTAAATTAAATGTGTAAATATAATACTCATTTTCTTATTTATTTTAAATGTTGAATCTTTGAAGAAAAAAAAATATTAGTTTAATTTCAAGCACTCTACTATAAATTTTACAATATAAAAATGTATTTTTACAAATTGACTGAGAAAATGAGTATTTACCATCACACTGCATCTGCATATTTTAAATAAAATACCTAATTACCTTGCATCAGCCTGCATAAATATACCAATATTTTCAGCGTTAGGAGATGATCC